TCATTCACAACCAGATAAAGCTCTTCAATTACTTTCTCATGCGTGGCCACTAAGCCTGAGCATTGACACCCTCACCTTATGTTTTTATAATGACTTAAAACAAAATCTCGACACTGAGGCCTGTTACCTGCATTTTCCCAGGTTCTCTCCTACAATCCCACTGAGAAAACTTGTTGAGTCTTGATTCTGTCGCCTATATTGTTATCTCTCCCTCATAGCCAGGTGAATGCTGAAGATCAGATAAACCAGACTTCAAACAAGCTGTTCATATAAATGTTGATGGAGGACAGGAGAGAACCAAGAGGCCCTACTTTTTAATTTTCAGTTTTAATCCTTTGAGTTGTTTTTCAGTCCTTTAACGGAAGATGAGGAATACATGACGTTGTTTAAAATAATTTTCACATGTGATTTGTTTTTATAATGGTAAACCTCAAACAATTTTCACTCTCCAAGTTTAGTTTGAAAAAGGGGAAATGTTCTCAACATCAATTTCACTTAATACAAGTATTCCTGCATTTTTCAAACTGCGCATCATAACTCCTGACTCCTTGGATGCAAATGAACCTTTTATATTTTCAGAGCGCTTTCAAGATTTCATATGTGACCCTTGCAAACCTTGTGAGTCAGAAGGGGTAAGTGATGTTGCTCTCAGGCAACTAGCAAGGTCTGAAAAGGTGCCCACAACCACACAGTTAGCAGCAGACCCCTTAAAGCCCGGAGTTTCCGTCTTCCAGGGCTCTTCCACTATTTCCTAGAAAAAAGTTACCATGAATTGAAGTTGATGCAGGGTTGGCGAGCTGAAGAGTCGAAAGAAAGATTTCTTGGACTCTCAAGGTCTGTCAGTAGTACTCTTTTATTTAGAGAATAATGTGGAATAGCATGGGGACAGGACCCATGGGCAGTAAAGAGCTGCTGCAAACATGGGTTGAGGGTAGGGCTAAAGTTAAGGCATAGGTACGTAAGTTATCTCTTTACAAAACAAAGGAAAGTATGTGTAAAACGAGTTGTTAAAACGGTATCAGTGCTGGTAGGGTCGGTTATTGGGTGGTCCTATAACTTTTAGATAAGAATCAAACCGGATTAAGTAAATGGCAGAAGCCATCACCTTAAATATTATCCTCAGCTAAAGACAAAGGAGGATGTTAAAGGGGGGAGGGGTCAGTTACATGAGGTTACCAGATAAGCACAATAAACAAGATTTAAGTCCTTGCTGTCCCCATTAAGAGTTTCTAGAAATAAGGTCATCCCCCTTCCTCCTGGTGCAGAGAGGGAGACAGCCCCACAGATGGAGACTTCCTTCACAAATGCAAATGTCTCTCATCAAAGGGCAAGCAAATTCCACTCCTCAGAGCCTCCTTCCCATCTGCAGTTTTTAAAAGTAACCAGCCTAAAATAATCCTCATCAAAGTGCTCTCCTATCAAGCCTGTATCCTCCACACCAACCAGCCATTTTGCCTTCTGAGGCTCTGCTCCCACTTGTAATTTTGACACTTAGTTGGGGGGTGTTTGTACAGAGCGGGAGCACCAATAGGATGGATGGGCTTTGCCACTGACATGAATAAAGCAGCATTTGTGTCAAGACTATCTCCAGAAAGTAAATGCAGCAAGTGTGGCCAGAGAGGACACCGAAACAGAGGCTGACGTGCACATGTGTGCCTCCCCATATGCCTTACTGAGAAGAGATATGATGACTTTTTCCCTCCCCAGAAAGGTAATAATGAGAAAACCACAGCTGTCACTCACTGAGAACATTCCAATCCTTCCTGTGGTGGTTCCATGAGACAGTAGTCATGAGAGAATCTGCACACGCACGCACACACACACACACACACACACACACACACACAGGAAGGAGTCCATGGATCTGTAAGTGTGGGAAGTAGAGCCCACAGTAATGCCCCTCTTAGAAATTCACAAAGACTCATAATATACTAAAGGCTCTGAGAGACTCTGCTGTTATCTGCTTACCTGTTTCACCTAGTATTTCTCAAACCTTATGGATAGGGAGAAAAAGGAGACTTTTTATATAACACCTATTAACAATATTATTCTACAGAAAATACTTTTAGAAAGGCTTCATTACCTCATTTGATCTTCACCATGACTCCAAATGGTAGATATTACTATCCCCATTTTACAAATGACTCAACGAGGTTAAATCACTTGACCAACAGGATGAGAATTTAAACCCGGGTCTGCTTGAGACCAAGTCCCATTCCATCAGGCACTGAGCTATACAGCCTGAGGGCTCCAGGCTCATTTTAGGTCTGATGTTGTGAAGGATCCTGAGGGCTATTTGTGAAGCTGTGGGTCCTGAAAGGACCTTAAGAGAAGACAAGAAAAGCTGACCATGAATGGAGGGGCTGATGAAACACTTGGGCAGGGCAAAGTTTTAGAAAAAAGACTAGCGAAGGAAAAGGAGACTATTTGAGCTGGGTATTGGTGGAGAGGGTGAGGAGTGGGAGGGAGGAGGTTTGGAAGGACAGTAAAGGCCTGGACAGTGAAGGTATCTATCGCAGGAGCTGTTGTGAGGGTGACATGAAGTACTGTTTCTCAAGGGCCCAGCACAGTGAGTGTAAGCTGCTCCCTAATCCTGGAGGTGTTGGGACCAGAGAACAGGGGACAGGAATGACAACAAGATTCAATTCTGGGGGCTAATGCAATACTTTATATCTGTGCTGAGCTCAGCAAAATGGCCCAAGACCGCTCTTCAGTAACGTCCTAGGCAATCCCCACCCACTCAGGTCCTTCGTGGGTATTTGATGGAAAGAATTTGTTATTTGCCTCAACAGTGTATAGTTTCTACCTCAAATCCTCTCAAGCAATCACAAGTGGTGGTTCACTTGAAGTGACGAATGCCCAGTAGAAGGCAGAGTGGGCCATGGGGACCCTTCGGGAAAGAAAGGAAGAGCAAGTGGGGACAGGTTGTAAAAGTCACAGCCTAACAGTCCCTAAGGCTGGGACTAGACCAGGCCTAGGTTTAGTTTGGCCTACTACGATCTGAAAAAAAAGGAATTTGTTTCCAAAATTTATAAGAAGGCTATTTCACATAAGCATACAGATTTCTGGCTTCCCTTTCAAACTCTAAAGACAGCCCTGGGACTGTTCACTTGAAGGAAGGAAGATCCTTGGAGCTGGGAAACAGCTTCCTCTTCAGCCTGTGTACCTAGATGACTCCTGTCAGCCAGGCCTACCTAACTCAAGTTTCCTGATCCGCCTGCCCAGGTAGAATTTGTATCTGTGCTCTCTTTCCACAAGGGTAAGATTAATAAGCGTAGTGAGATGCATAATAAAGCTTTTTGGTGCATGTCTCTAGAAGTGTTTGATTACCAGTAAAAAAAGAAGGAAACTGTGATGCCTGGCCCGTTATTTAATCTTTTGATACCCATGCCCCCTCTGTGATTAAGAAAATTAAAATACCAGGCTATAAAACTTTACAAACACAGCACCTAGTGACACAAAAATAAAGAGCAACCAAAGATTTTCATGAACACTCATCTACTTATTGAAAAAACATTCAAACTGGCACAGAGTTGTTCGGCAGTGTACACAGGTGATAGATTTTAATTCTTTGAATCCCTTCAGTCTGAAGATGTTAAAGCTCTGTACCATTATCAAGATCGGCGTGGTACAATGATGTAAGCCACTGACGTGAGCCACGCTTGTAATTCAAAATTTCCTAGCAGCCACATTGAAGAAGTAAAAAGAAGCAGGTGAAATTAATTTGCATAATATATTTTCTTTAACCAACATATCCAAAACATTATCATTTCAAGTGTAACCAATATAGAAATTATTAATGAGCTATTTTACACTCCTTTTTACTAAGTCTTCAAAATCCTGTGCATATTTTACACTATTGCACATTTCAATTGGGATCGACTATTTTCTAGTGCTCAAAACCCACATGTGGTTAGTGGCTGCCTTATTGGACAGTGCAGGTGTTTATGAAACCACCCACTTTCCTTAGATCAACAAACAAGGGTAGATGGAGAGAGGGCAAGGATGGGTTTCCCCCAGATCTCATAGGGAATGAGGAGGCTAGGCGGGAAACTGGCACCCTTCTGATACATGAACCAGATCTTCTGGGTTCCTTTCCGCCCCCACAGTGCACCCTCTGTGTCCCATCCCCCTCTCTCTTTGTCACCCTTTCTCATTGCCTAACTAGGGACACTATTGCAGTGTGAGCCGCGTGGGGCATGAGGAAGGAAGGAATGGGCTAGATTCCCAGCCTGCCCCTTGCAGCCTGAGGACCTTGAGCAAGTTACTTAACCTCTTTAGTCTCAGATTTCTTTTCTATGAAATAGGATTACTTTCTTCAGGGCTGAGTTCTGAGGCTCAAATCAAATAATAAAGGTCAACTCATCAGCACCAAATAGACACTGTAGGAGTTTTCAAGCGTTTAATAATTATTTTTTAAGATTTATATATGTTTGGTGGAAGAGGCAGCAGGGAAAAAGAATTGGAGAAGTGAGGAGTTTTTGAAAAGATCTGTGCTAAATCCCAGGGCAGCCTCTGTTCCTTCTTCAGGAGTTGGTACTTAAAGCCTCTCTCTGCTTTTACAAGGCGTAACTTCAGCCCAAAGCACTCTGAGCCTGAGTTACGCAGATACACTAAAAACAGAAGAATTTGTTTTTAAAAAAGAAAGAGTTTCAGTTTTTGCCAGAGTTTGTCCAATTACACGGAGACCCAGATGATAAGGGGGGAACCCCTCAATGAGCACATGAGGGAGTGCACCCCAATTACATACTCTGCAAAATGTCTGAGGAGGAATCTTCGCCCGGTCCAACGCATGTGAAGATAGCAAGACACTATCATCTAGCAGATACGTCTTTCTCAGCCCCTGCAGTTTCCCTTGCTATAAGGTAGTGCCCAGGACTCTCCAGGAGCCTGACCAGACTTAACCTCTCCAGGTCCTAAAGCTGGAACCATCCCCAGAACGCCAGTCCACAGCCTCGGCCGCTTTGAGAAGACTGTAATAAAAACAAGAGAGGACTCACCAGCTCATTCTCCTCTCCTGGGTTGAGCAAAGCCCGATGGTTCTTACTCTTCTCCTCCATCTAAACCAGACCTCTTAGGGTGCTCCCCAGCTAACTCCTTCTGAAAATGTCAAAACCACTGGAGCTTCTGTGAACTCAGCAGACTCATGTCTTGTCATTGCTGTTCTCAGGTGCTTTTAAACCTCTTAGCACACACCTCACCTATTAGACTAACAAAGGAAAAAGGAAACTGTAGCTGCCCCGAAGCAGGAAGGATTAATAATCACTGGAAAAGGCTTGCCAACAAACTGTGACCCGGAGGTGAGAAGGCCGGTTAGCCAATGACGAGTAAGACCACCAGGGGGAGGCAACCTAAGCCAGGCATCGGTCACCTGGGGACACAGATGGACACACGATATCGATATCGGGAGCAGGAGGAGCCGTTGTCTGGGAGGCCTTGCCTGCTCTGAGATAAAAATATACGAGCACCGCAAAAACATGATAATATCAAAACAGAGGCCGAGGGAAGTCTCCTTGAGAAATCACTAAGAATTCTTGGCATTCGCTAATTACTTCATCCAGAACACCTGTGTATGTTTAACAGCTGTAAGCTATGTATATATTGAAACGCTGGTTATAATAAACTCAGAGTGGCCATCAGCCCTCTCCGCATCTATCCTGATGTGTACATTGGATGGCGACACCGACAGAAATAGTCTCCTGGCCACAGAATTGGTCTGTTAATCTACCTGCTTGTTGCGTTTTTTTTTCTTCCTAGTGTTTACTTGCTGAGCTAGTTGTGAGTGCCTTCAGACTGAAGTTGTCAAACTAGAAAGATGAATAGTTCCACGCGCTGCCTGTAAATGTTTCAGCCAATGAACGGGCATGGCCGCTTTGCCAAAAACCTGAGACAACAGGAGTAACTGGTGAGAAATGAATAGAACCCCTGTGGACTTTGGAAAAGTAATGGGCATACTGGGGGTGACAATGAGAATTGAAAGAAGGGAGGTTAGCTCATGACGAGGAATGTGAGAATCATTTTGGAATCAGAAAAATCAATTCTAAACCCTGTTCTAGTGATGACCCTGGATAAATCACTTAAAATCTGAAGTTTAGGTTTCTAGTACGTAAAATGTCAATAATAATCATAGAGTTGATATGAAGATCTAAGGTGATATTTGTAAAAGGCCAACCCTAGCACCCATCACAACAAGAGATGGATCATCATCATCTTTGTAATCATAATACTAAAAAAGAAGAAATAAGTTTTTAAAAGTAAATTATAATAATAATAATTTGATTCAGAGACTCAGGCTTCTTCCATCTTGTGGCTCCACCATCTTCAACATGGGGCTTCTGAGGCTGTGATGATTACACGAAAGGGGCCTGCTTGGAGAATAGCTGATGAAGATTTTGATGGACTGCTCCTGTACTTGCACTAGAAGGTTGCCTGGAACTCAGTTACATGACCATACCTAATCCCAAAGTTGACCAGCAAATGTGGTCCAGCTGTGTGTCAGGAAGAAAAGGAAATAAATTTGGTGATCGTCTAGCAGTCGTCCCACACCCACCCTGTGATGATCCTAGTGAGGGGTAAAGGGATGGATCAGATTGGATCTTTGTCCCTAGGGGACTCAGAGTCTGGCGAGAGAGGCAAAACCATTCAGAAGTGACTGCTATACAAGGCAGAAGTGACGAAGGCCTGGGTTATTGCAGACTCGGGGGAGCATACCTGAGAGGCCCTAATGGCAGGTGACAGGAGTGGAGTGGCCTGTGACATCTGATTGAGTAAACTTGCGAGCTCTTTGCAACAACCACAAGGTTGGGAAAAAACTTGAATTTCCATATATGACTAATCCTTCATCTGAAATATGGATTCAAAGATGTGGACGTGCATCCCCTCTTTAATTGCACTCAATCTGTTTATAGGCAGAGCCAACCAACCCTTGCCCCTTCCAACCCTAATTACTGCTGCACCAAAACAGCCCACATGTTCTCGCCGGGTGGAACAGAGCAGAGGAAGCTCCCTTTTGGAAACACAAATATGTGCTCTTCAAGGTGAAGGTATGGTTTGCCCATTCCCATTCTCTACCTTAAATTTCTTTTTAGGAGATCAGCAAATTGAGAATTTGGTAAATGTGTCAAAACTTAGAAGTAAAATCGGAACCATCTGGAGGCAAAAAAGAGCCCAGACTGTGAAAGGGGCCTTCTCTTATTACTCCTCAGCTTCTTCCTGTCCTGTTAATTCATTTAGCAAACAGCTTCTAAGCTCTCAGACCAGGCTTAGGACTGAATCGGGGGCAGAAATAAATCCAAAACTAATCCTGCCCTTAGTGTATTCACAGGCTAGTAAAGAAACAGGACAAAAATGGGACTCCCCTATAGGGGAAAAAATGGAACGAGCCAGAGGGGACAGACAGAGAAAAGACTATAAGACAGTGGCTCAGAATCCAGCAACTCAAGGACTTACAAAGGTGTCGAGCCCAGTGGCTTATTCCTCTTTGTGGAGTCACAGAGAGCTTTGAGAATCTGATGAAATTTGTAAATTTTCTCCTCCCAAGAATAAGACACATAAGCACATGTGAAAAAAATTTTACTTACATCAGTTTTTACTTACACCTTATCTGGGCCAATCCCTCCATGTTATAGTTCTTCATTAATTTGTTGAACAAATACTTAGAGAGCACTTACCTGTTATTTTTTTTTTCTTTTTGGTGAGGAAGATTGGCCCTGAGCTAACAGCTGTGGCCAATCTTCCTCTTTTTACTTGAGGAAGATTGTCCCTGAGCTAACATTAGTGCCAATTTTCCTCTACTCTGTATGTGAGACACCACCACAGCATGGCTTGATATGCTGTGTATAGGTCCACGCCCAGGATCCAAACCCACAAACCCTGGGCCACCAAAGCCAAGTGTGTGAACCAAACCACTACACCACTGGGCTGCCCCAGCACTTACTTTCTATAAGGCACTGTTCAAGGCATTAGGAGCACAGCAGTGATCAAAGCAGACAAAAGTCCCTGCCCCGTGGAGCTGACATTTCAGTGAGGAGAGATGGACAAAACAGGTAAAGAAGCAAAATTCACAGTTGGTCAGATAGCAATATTGCAACAGAGAGAAATAAGGCCAGAAATGTGAACAGGCAATTTTGGGGAGGTCAGGAGTAAGCGGGATTAGGGCAGAAGGGGATGAAGAGTTGCATTTTTTTAATTGAGGTCATATCAGCATATAGTATTGTGTAATTTCAGGTGTACATTATCATATGTCAGTTTCTGTATAGATTGCATCGTGTTCACCACCAATAGTCTAGTTTTCATCCGTCACCATACGTATGTGCCCCTTTACCCCTTTCGTCCTGGCCCCACCCCCCCTCCCCTCTGGTAACCACTATCCTGTTCTCCTTATCCATGTGTTTGTTTATCTTCCACATTTGAGTGAAATCATGCAGTGCTTGTCCTTCTCTGTCAGGCTTATTTCACTTAACACAATACCCTCAAGGTCCATCCACGTTGTCACAAATGGGACGATTTTGGGTTTTTTGTGGCTGAGTGATATTCCATTGCATATATATATACCACATCTTCTTTATCCATTCACTCAATGGGCGCTTGGGTTGCTTCCACATCTTGGCTATTGTGAATAATGCTTCAGTGAACATAGGGGTGCATAAGTCTTTTCAAATTGTTGATTTCACATTCTTTGGATAAATACCTAGTAGTGGGATAGCTGGGTCATACGGTATTTCTAATTTTAATTTTTTGAGAACTCTCCATACTGTTTTCAATAATGGCTGCACCAGTTTGCATTCCCACCAGCAGTGTATGAGGGTTCCCTTTTCTCCACATCTTCTCCAACACTTGTTATTTCTTGTCTTGTTAATTATAGACATTCTGATGGGTGTGAGCTGATATCTCATTATAGTTTTGACTTGCATTTCCCTAATAATTAGTGATGTTGAACATCTTGGGCAAAAATATTTGCAAACCATATATCTGATAAGGGGTTAATTTCCACAATAGATAAAGAACTCATACAACTCAACAACAAAAAAAGAACTACTCAATCAAAAGATGGGCAAAGGCTATGAACAGACATTTTTCCAAAGAAGATATACAGATGGCCAACAGGCACATGAAAAGGAGTTGCATTTTAAATGAAGTCTTCAAGCAAGGTACTACAAACAAGGTGACGTTCGAGCTAAGGCATGTGGCTACCTGGGAAAGAGGATTCCAGGCAAAGGGAATAGCAAATATAGAAACCCTGAAGTTGTGGGCCAGGAAGGAAGCCAGTGTGCCCAGGGCAGTCTGTGCAAGGGAGAAAGTCATGGGATCTGAGGCAGAGAGACAGAGGTGTAGTCCCAGAGTATTTGGCACCCAGAGCAAATCATTCTTTATATCTCCTCCTCTACATGACAATTCTTTTTCAATTTAACAACAATAGCTAGAAAATAAACATGGACACTAAAATGGTCTTTTAATTGTTTTTTGTACGCATAATAGTGCAGGTAAAAAGAATTTTAAAAATAAACAATAAAATATATGCTACTGTACATAAAGGAAGAAGTAATGGATTACTACTTTTTAATTATATTAAGGTATTTTTACAAAAGGAGAAAACATGTCATACATTGTAATTAATAGTAACATTGCAGTAACTAATAAATGAATTTTAATAAAATCAAAAGACTTGCAAAAGGTAAACTTGGGCAATTATCAAATTGTTCTACTGATGTAACCCTTTATTTTTTGACCTATTCTTCAGTTTTAAAATAAACAATTAAAAATGTGAAAATAAAAATAAGTTTCAATTTTGAAGATATTATTCAAATTCAGTAAGATATTTCAAGTGTGAACTAAAATTTGCACTTACCATACACAGATATTTCAACTGACAATGTGCACTCTGTTTTACTCTTTTTAGGAAGAAAAAACTACATAACTAAATTGGAGCCAGGGGATGGAAATCTGAACTGTCTAGCCAAGGAATTATATTTTATATGGTTCGTAGGAAGCATCCCTTGGAGGTGTAATAGTAGCTCCTTGCCAGTGTCTTCAGCTCCTCTCAATTTAATTCTGCACATGCTTGTGAAAAGCTGCCATATACAAAGCACTGTCCTAGGTCCTAACATGAGAATCCAGAGATGAATGACGCCTGGACCCTGCCCTTGAGCTCAGTCTACTGGAGCCATGCTCTGGAATCTAATCTTCCGTATTCTCTACTTTCCTCCAGCTGCTCTTGTGACCCACCTCATCACAAAAGGGATTTGACAA